AGTGAACCCACAACTCTTAATAGTTCCACTTGCTCAAGAGTCGGGGTGAATTGAGGGCTGGTGGCGCCTTAATGTTTAAGGTGGAACAGGCCGAATGTGGCTCTACAACAGCTGGGCAAACTCCACACTCCAGGTGCCCTCTGGATACAAAATGTGCCCTCAGCCACTGAGCTTCTCGCAGGCTGGATCATGTTTCCATACTGTAGCTCGCTAGATGCACCAACAAGAAGGTCTAGATGACAAGGGTGTCCAGGGTCCGCAGAGATGCTCACCACCAATAAGGGGTGGTGACCTAAGGAAGAGGAGATCAGAAGTTCCTAGTTCCCTAAGCAGGGAGGAAGGCAGGACAGTGAGGCAAAAGTCAGCACCATGGAGAGGAATCAAGGTGCTGGATTCAGGACCATGGACAGCACTCCACACAACCATGTTGTCTCAGCAAGGTGCCAGAGCAAGCAAATGAGTTTTATAGGAAGGACAGTGAGCCACTTGCTGGAGGTCCCACCTGCCTGAGTGCTGCCAGTTAAAGGGCCTTTTGGTGTAACGGGGTCTCTAGCTCCAGGAATCTCTGCTCAGGACCCTCTTGAGTCTGTGGACTGGCCAGCCCGCTCCAGTGGCTGAGGTATCTCTTCAGGGCTAAGGGGAGGGAGTCTGCTGCCCATAGCTCCACACAGGATGGACCAGGGAGTAGCTCCATCTTCATCTCAGAGGACAATGCCTCCACGGTGTCCAAGGCTGGGGACATGACAAAGAGCTCTTCCTCAAAGGGAGATGTAAAGAGCAGGGCAGGGTGATATATTGATATATCATCCAAAACCACATTGTGATAACGGTTTCATAATATCTGAGCTGGCGATATATCACGAATCACAATGTGTGTAAGGGCTAGGAGATATCTGGTTTTCAACATCGAGATAACTCAGCAGCTAAACATCGCAATAACTCACCAGCTGAACACTGCAATGTTATCACCAGCTAAAGCACACAGTATCACCAGCTAAACCTCGCAATATCACCAGCTAAACATTGCAATCTACACAATGTCTGAAATAAGGATGGAACTATACAGAGGCGAACAGGACAATGTCCTGGCAACTGATACTACTTAGGGGTCTAAAAGGAATAAATGACAATATTATCAATCATCACACACTCAGTTTAATCAGAAGGCAAGCTAAAATCCATCTCAACAGGACGTTTGGTTTTGGGCTCGGCTACCAAATGGTGGTATTCAGGACAAACCAAAGTACGGTGATGAGTCATAGTGAATGAAAATAATCTGGGACTTCCAGACTGCCTGCAGGTATGCTAGGAGGCAGAAGCAGCAGTGGCAGAAACAGTTTGCCATGACTACGGTACGTGTCAGCACTAGCGGAGACAACCTGCAAGGCCTGGCAGTGGCGGCACAATCAGTGGTGGCGGAGACGGGAGGGGGCAGCAGAAGCAGAAGCAGCCTTGTTGTGGGGGAATAAGCAGTGGCAACTTGCGAGGTCTCATGGCAGTGACAGGAGCTGGCGGCAGTAGCAGTGGCAGCCTGCAAGGCTTCGCGCTGGTGACAGGGACTGACGGCAGTGGCAGTGGACTGCAAGGCCTCGTGGCGGCAGCGGGAGATGGCTGCCATAGTAGTGGTAGCCTGCGAGGCCTCATGGTGACATGAGCATAGTGTATAGTGACCCAGCCCTGGTCAAGAGCAAAACCCTCAAGGCCTTTGGGGTTTGCCGCCATTGTTGGAAGGAACTAAAAGGGCAAACCCCACCATGCTCCAGCCGGCCACCCCCACGTCAAAACCTCTCTTCTATTTGAAGCATTGCTTGTGAAAAAGATAAGAAGCGCCTGCAGGATCAGGCCAATGGCCCATCTAGTCCAGCATCCTGTTCTCACAAGGGCCAAGCAGATGCCTCTATGGGGAAACCTGCAAGCAGAATTCAAGCTCAAGAGCCCTCCTGTGGTTTCCAGCACCTGGCATTCAGAAGCAACTGTGGAGGCAGGGCATAGCCATCATGCAAAGAAACTTGGAGGGATGTGTGAGAGACAACCCTTCCAACTGCTTATGCAGTTCATATTTTGAACTGGAGGAGAAAAGCATTGCATAAAGGAACAAGCCAGAAACGGATCGCATCATTCACTGGCCGGGCTATCGGCAACAATAAGCTGTTCCACGGGAACGTGATCTGCTCCCGCTTTCTCTGCACAGAATAAGACAGGCCTAGGAATACAACAGGAGACACAGGAGGGCCGGCTATGTTTCGTTGCTGTAGAAACAGCCTTGTGGCAGGCATGTGTGCGTGCCTCTGGGATCCGGGAGGGCCCTCAGCATCAGAGGCCCTGCAGAGTCACCTCTCGAGTCACCGCAGCCAAAAGCAAACTCCCTGCGCCCGATTTAATTGTCACGGCATCGGTTGCCAGGCAGGGATGCGTCTCCCTGGAAACAGCCCTGTTTGCTGCTGATCCCCTATTATCTCAAGAAGCCTTTCAATCTTCCCACACACAAATATATATATACGTTCACATGCATTTATCTCTTACAGCGACGAGTAGGGAGAACGTGGTGGTGTAAACATTGACAGCCAGGGACTCAAACAGCCAGTTTTTACTTCTAAATTCCTGGACGGCTGGGCCAGTCTCCTCCACTGAGCCTTGGTTTTATACATCAACACCTTTCCAAAAATGAAATTGCCCAAGACAACATAGAAAGAGAGAAAGCTGCTGTAGTCAGACCAGCTGGCTCAGTACCGTATTTTTCACTCTATAGGACACACCCGGGCAAAGGACGCACCTAGTTTTTAGAGGAGGAAAACAAGTAAAAAATATTCTGAATCAAATCAATGTTGGGGCTGAAGGGGAAAGCCCGGGGTTTCCCCATAAAGCCCCGGCATCCCCAAGCTAGAACAGCGAGACGCTGCGCAGCGCTCCGTCTCGCTGTTCTGGCTTCGGGGACAGCCTTTCAAGCCTCCGCAGGGCAGTGGGGTGCCTTAACCCCGCTGCTCTGCGGAGGCTTTGCGCAGCCATCCCCAAGCTAGAACAGCGAGACGGAGGGCTGCACAGCTAACCCCGAAGCCTTTGGAGCGCAGCGCAAGGTCCCACTGCGCTCCAAAGGCTTCAGCGGGACCTTGCGCTGCGCTCCAAAGGCTTTGGGTTCCTTTCGCTGAAGCCAGGAGAGTCTTGCTCTCCTGGCTTCAGCAAAAGGAACCCGAAGCCTTCGGAGTGCAGCGTGAGTTCCCGCTGTGCTCCAAAGGCTTCAGGCAGCTATCGCTGAAGCCTGGAGAGCGAGGGGTCAGTGCGCACCGACCCCTCTCGCTCTCCAGGCTTCAGCGAAAGCAACGCGTAGCCTCCGGAGTGTGGAGGGAGCGCTCCCTCTGTGCTTTGGAGGCTTCGCGTTGCTATCGCTGAAGCCAAGGAGCCTGCATTCGCTCCATAGGACGCACAAACATTTCCCCTTCATTTTTGGAGGGGAAAAAGTGCGTCCTATAGAGCGAAAAATACGGTATTGCCCAGTCTGGCTGGCAGCAGCTCTCCAGGATTTCAAGAAGAGTTTTTCTCCCAGCTCAACTTGGAGAGGTCATCGAGGAATTGAACCTGGGACCTTCTCAGTTAGGGTTATCCTAAGATCTGGACTCCAAAAGCCAAGGAGCTGAGCGGCGGAAGGAAATCGAAACCTAAGCCACGGGCTGCAAGCAAAATATTGGTGGGACCGAAAGTTAAAAGGCGTTCCAAAGTCAGAATGGCACTCTGCTTATGGTGTGGACAGTTCAACGCACATTCGTTTCCAGTGGGAAGGGCTTCCGTGTCATTTTAAAAGCATGTAAAACATGCAGGCAAAGCAGATGTTCTAATGCCCCTTCCCCATTTTCTTTAGGAAAGAAAACCCAAGGGGGGGGGAAGCAAAGCGAAACAAAACAAAACACACAGCCCAATGAAGACAGAGAATGTTCAGTAGCCACAAAATTATTCTACTCACAAAAAGAGTAGAGTGTTTTGAAAACTGAAGTATGGTACTAACATTTTTATCGTCAACACAAAATAAAACATATACTGACAATTTCTGCTAAAAATGTGATATTAACAATGTGTCACTGACGTGAATTGCGTATTAATTCACGCTTATCAAAATAAGAAATAAGAAGTGTTGTCGACCTCCCCAAATGGCGACTAGACATTCTGTTTTGGCGCCCGCAACCCAGGTCCTAGGAGCCATTTGGCTCCTAGCTTTTCTACCCCAGTTTATAACACTGCTTTCAATGACCCCCCTCAGAACATGCCAGGCCCTTCACTCCTTTTGAAGCTGCAACGCCACACAGATGGCGTTTCGATGACTCTGCAACACACAGTGTCCTGTTCGGGTTATAGGCACCTTCTAGGCCCTTAACCCGAGACGCAGCCAAGTCGTCTGGAGCCAAGATCATTGCAGAACTTGTAATCTTTTTCGGCAGTGCAAGCCTGAGCAACCTTCAGCTGACATTGCAAGGCAGCCCGTCAAATCCCGTCACCATCAAATTAACACAGCCCAGGAAGGCGTTGGCTGGCGATAAAGGAAAGACGCAGCTCCTGATCGTTGGTTTCCAAAGAGAGGAGGAGACAGACATCACGGAATCATAGAATTGTAGAGCTGGGAGGGATCCCAAGGGTGATCTAGTCCACAGGAACCACAGCTAAGGAATCCCTGACATACGGCTTCCCCACCTCTGATTGAGTCTACCACCTTCCGAAGGAGTTCGTTCTACTGTCCAACGGCTCTCAGGTTCACAAAGTTCTTTCTAATGTTTTGCTGTAATCTCCTTTCCTGTCATCCATTCCTGTCCTGCTCTCTGGAGCAGCAGAAAAGAAGCCTGCTCCATAAGCTCAAACACTATGGAGCCATGATCTCCATGTTTCCTGGGTGTGTGACTTCCTGGAAACTGGCCAATCAGTTACTTTGCCCAGGTTTCTGGACAGTTCGATTTCGTTGGCTGGCCGCTGCAGGGAACAGGGCTAGCAGACACTTCGTCAGGGCTCATCCTCTGCCGCAGCTCAGTGGTAAAGTCTCTGCTTGGCATACAGAACGTCTCGGGTTCGACCCCTGGCAGGTAGGGTTGGAATTTCCCCCTACCACAGAGAGCTGCTACCAGTCAGTGTCGACAACTCTGAGCTCGGTGGGTTAATGTTCTGACTCTGGCTAAGACACCATCACATGTTCCCAATGCTGAGGCTATCAGAGAGGGCACAGAAGGCCCTATGGAAATGACCTGCGCTATGTTCCTGCCATTCGCACTCCTGACCCTGCATTGCAGGGGGTTGGACTGGATGACCTTTGGGGGTCCCCTTCCAGCTCTACGACTCTTTGATTCAACTGACCGACCCTTGATCCACCCCAGCCACACTTTGAAAATTGCGCTGTCTGGTGAAATGCTTCTGGGAGATGATATATAATGAGTTGGAAAAAAATGTTGAAATATACATTTATAAAGAAACCAGAAGCATTTATATTGGGCATTGTGGGGAGTGATATAAATAGAAAGGAATGTAAGCTCTTTTTACAGTGGTGCCTCACAAGACGAAATTAATTCGTTTCGCGAGTTTTGTCGTCTCGCGATTTTTTTCGTCTTGTGAAGCACGGTGTCGGGAAAGTTTTGGAAAAGCTTCAAAAATCACCAAAGTCTTTAAAAACCTAAAAAAGTCTACCACACCGCGTTCTATGAGTTGCTCCTCGAAGTCAAGTCACAACTGTATTAACGGTGTTAAGAAAAAGGAAACAAACTTGCAAGACGTTTCCGTCTTGCGAAGCAAGCCCATAGCGAAAATCGTCTTGCGAAACAGCTCAAAAAACAAAAAACCCTTTCGTCTAGCGAGTTTTTTGTCTTGCGAGGCATTCGTCTTGCAAGGTACCACTGTATATGCAATAACAGCAGCAAGAATACTATTGGCCCAAAAATGGAAGCAAGAAGAGTTACCGACGATTGAAGAATGGAGGATGAAGTTAATGGACTATGCAGAATTAGATAAACTAACAGGAAGGATTTGAAACCGGCGAGACCAGAAATTCACGGAAGACTGGAGTAAATTTACGGACTATTTGAAAAGTATTTGTGAAGATCAGACGATGTTTGTAGGTTTGCAAGAAGTTTTGTGAGGAGTATTATTGGAAGTATTGCAAAAATGGAGAAGGGGAAGGATGATTTGTTAAGAGATGTAAAGGCAATATAAAGTTAAGAAATGCATAAGAAGTGGATCATCAGAGGTGCTGATTGAAGTCCAAAAAGATTGTATAAGTGATAAGTTTTGTGGTACATTTTATAATTTATATGTTAAAATTAATAAAAAATACTATTAAAAAAAAAAGAAACTTGCCCTGTCCTGTTCAGAGGTGGGCGTCTGGGAACAGCCATTTCATAAAGCCAAACAAACAAAGGGAAATATAGGAACAGAGGGGGACACCTTTAGAAAAAGCTTTCTGCAGAGTCCAAGGACAGAAAGGCCTGCCCCCTCTGACCGCCAATATTCATGGGCTCTCCTCTTCTCCCCAAACAAAAACTGACTTCCCACTAGCGCACACACCTGCAGGGCTCATCCTGCTGCTTTGAATTACGGCCAATTAGTTTACAAGGTCTGAGAGCAACAAGAGGATTAAGTGACATAAGCAGGAAAATTGCTAGAAGATGTTGGGGAAAGCCCTCGACCATCCGCAGATATTTTTAGAGAGCAGATAAAGGGGGGGGAGGAATTAAATGCTGCCCCCTCCCTCTCCCCCTGAAAGTTAGAAGATGAGACGCATCCTTTGGAGCATTGGTAGTGTAGTGGTTTGGTAGCGTGGTCTAGTGCAGGGACAGGCAACCTTAGGCCTGGGGGCCGGATCCGGCCCAATCGCCTTCTCAATCCAGCCCGCAGACGGTCCGGGAATCAGCGTGCTTTTACATGAGTAGAATGTGTCCTTTTATTTAAAATGCATTTCTGGGTTATTTGTGGGGCATAGGAATTTGATCATATTTTCCCCCTAAAATATAGTCTGGCCCCCCACAAGGTCTGAGGGACGGTAGACCGGCCCCTTGCTGAAAAGTTTGCTGACCCCTGAACTAAGGCATGGATAGGCAAACTAAGACCCGGGGGCCAGATCTGGCCCAATCGCCTTCTAAATCCAGCCCATGGACAGTCTGGGAATCAGCATGTTTTTACATGAGTAGAATGTGTCCTTTTATTTAAAATGCATCTCTGGGTTATTTGTGGGGCATAGGAATTTCCCCCCTAAAATATAGTCCGGCCCCCCACAAGGTCTAAGGGACGGTGGACCAGCCCCCTGCTGAAAAAGGTTGCTGGCCCCTGAACTAAGGCATGGATATGCAAACTAAGACCCGGGGGCCGGATGTGGCCCACCACCTTCTAAATCCAGCCCACAGACGGTCTGGGAATCGGCATGTTTTTACATGAGTAGAATGTGTCCTTTTATTTAAAATGCATCTCTGGGTTATTTGTGGGGCATAGGAATTTCCCCCCTAAAATATAGTCCGGCCCCCCACAAGGTCTAAGGGACGGTGGACCAGCCCCCTGCTGAAAAAGGTTGCTGGCCCCTGAACTAAGGCATGGATATGCAAACTAAGACCCGGGGGCCGGATGTGGCCCACCACCTTCTAAATCCAGCCCATGGACAGTCTGGGAATCAGCGTGTTTTTACATGAGTAGAATGTGTCCTTTTATTTAAAATGCATCTCTGGATTATTTGTGGGGCATAGGAATTCCTTCATGTGTTTTTTCCCCCAAAATATAGTCCAGCCCCACACAAGGTCTGAGGGACAGTGGACCGGCCCCCGGCTGAAAAATTTTGCTGACCCCTGGGTTAGAGTGTCAGACTATGACCTGGGAGATCAGGGTTCAGATCCCCACTCGGCCACAAAGCTCACTGGGGGAGCCTCTCTCAGCCTAGTCTACCTCAAACGGTTGTTATGGGGGTTATTAAATGAGGAACTGGGGAGCCCTGTACCCCACTTTGAGCTCCCTGGAGAAAACAGGTGGGGTATATATATGCAATCAATCAATCTTCCCAGCCCTTTTCTTCCCAAGGTGAAATGAATTTCTAAGGTAGGAAGGCTGAACAGGGAGGCTTCCGTCTGCGTGGGCAATGGGTGCGATGGATAAAAATCACAAGGAAGAGCCCAGGAGAGCAAGGGCTGGATGTAAGGGTGCAGCTGAGAAGAGAGCAGGATGAGGCCTGGGCAAAGAGGTTCAGCTTAAGCAGAGGTGGGGAACCTGTGGAAGCCGCCCAGAGTGGCTTGGGCAACCCGGTCAGATGGGCGGGGGCACAAATAATAAAATAATTACAATTAGTGTTCCCTTATATACCATTTGGTTTGCTGATATGTTTGCATCGTATTCTGGGGTGGGGTTGTTTTCTGCATTGCAGGGGATTGGACTAGATAACTCTTGGGTTCCCTTCCAACCCTAAAGTTCTATATATATATATATATATATATATATATATATATATATACACACACATTTTTATTGGGGTTTTTAAAACATATCATTTCCAACAATCATATAACAGAACTTCTTATCTTATACAATATTTTAGACTTCCGTCAACACCTCTGATGATTTTTTGTTCTTTATCGTTTATTCTGCATTTCTTAATTTCTCTGTTACTCTTAATTATCATTAACTAATAATTCTCTTCATAGTCTTTCTTGTAATATTTCAAATGGTCCTCCTTACAGAACGTCTTGCAATCCTACTAGCGTAATCTGTTCATTACAGTTACTTTTCAAATAGTTCATATATTTACTCCAGTCTTCTAAGAATCTCTGGTCCCGCAGGTTTCGAATCCTTCCTATTAATTTATCTACTCCAACCGTAAAGTTCTATGAATAGCAATGCTTCCCAGTTCCTTCCCCCTCCTTGTTTCCATCATGTTTTTATTTAATATGGCGCTAATTGCAGAGGATCACGGTTTGGCCAGCCCTCAACTTGGGTGGCAACATTTTTCATTTTTCAAACGAAAAAAAAAGAAGCATAAAAAAAGCTTTGTTAAAGACACCTGCCAAGAACAAGAGTTAATTCAAGGAGAAAAAACAACAGAGCCAATAAGCTAACATGGAAGCAGCCCAGGCGGATAACCCACGGTGCAGCTGGAACAGGAGGAGGTGCCAGTGGAGAAACTTCTCCAACCAGCAAGATGTGGACAGAGAGAGAGAAAGAGAGCTCTTGCCCCTTTCGCGTCAATCACTTGTCTAGCCAGAGACCCCATCAACCCACTTGTGTCTGGCAGACGTTCTCCCCACCGCAGCAATCCTGGCAGCAGTACCAGTGCCACCTGCTCCCATAGAATCACAGAACTGTAGTTGGAAGGAACCCTGAGGGTCCTCTAGCACAGCCAAAGCATCTCTGACAGATGGCCAGCCAACCTCTGCTCAAAAACCTCCAAGGAGAGTCCACCATGTTCCAAGGGAGTTCGTTCCACTGCCAAACAGCTCCTACCCTCAGAAAGTTATCCCTGGTGTTTAGTAATGTTCTTGTAACTTGAATGCACTGCTTTGGGTCCTCCGTTCCAGAGAACAAGCTTGCTCCATCCTCCTTTAGATATTTGAAGAGGAGACCAAACCATGACCTCAAGAGAGACAGCGAGGCCAAGCAGGCAGAGGTCAGAGGCTGAAGAAATATTGGAGCCACTCCAAGGACAAAGTCCATCCCGCTGATCTAATGAGGATGGAGGCCAGCCAAGGCAAGGGAGGAGCCTTACACGAGGCTTTGAGCAAGAAGAACCTCCCAAAATCTAGGGCTGAGCCCTGCTTCAAGGTCTTCTTAAGAAAGGGAAGTTCTGCAATAGATCTTACGGAACCATAGAATTGGAGAGTTGGAAGGTACCCAAAGAGTCATCAAGTCCAACCTCCTGCAAAACAGGAATCTCAACGAAGGCATCCCTGACAGATGGCCATCCAACCTCTGCTTAGAAACCTCCAAGGAATGAGAGTCTATCACTTTCCAAGGTCCTCTGTTCCACTGCCAAACAGCTCTTACTGTCGGAAAGTTCTTCCTGATGTTTAGTCAGAATCTCCTTTCCTGTAATTTGAATCCATGGGTTTGAGTCCTACCCTCAAGAACAGG